GAGTATCCGTATTTTAAAGTACTAGGGGTACCCTAATTTTCGAGGTCCGCACCGTTTTTCTCATACTTCTTAGTGACGTTGCACTTTTGCTGGATTTAATAGTGAAGTGATCAGAGCCACGACTCTAATATTGGGTGCCATTTCGCATCCACCATACAACAACTTGACTCCTTTCTAAAAATAATCTTTTCTGTGAATCGCAAAGACGCGAGCCCTTGGGGAAGGAGTGTGGAAGCCGCATTTTAAAATTGCTGAATTCATTTTTGGAACTCAGATCTCGCAGGCAAGCAATCGAATCTTAATTTTTATTCGCAGGATCAGTCTTTAAATAAAGACGAGCTAGATGAAAAGCTGGCCACGTGGGCTGAGAAGTATAACATGAAGGTAGTTTTCTAATTTGGAAAGTGTTGTAGCAGAACTCTTTATAGACCACTCTATTACAGAAAAACTTCGAGAGATTTAAAAACGAAACAGAACAGCTCAAATTGCAAGTACAGGAGGACGTGAAGAACGCGTTGTTGAAATTGGTAGAATTTTTTGAGGAACTGAACGCTATTGAAAATAATAGGGTAATTATTCTTTGCACTGAAAATTGTCTTTTCTTTAGTTGATGGTTATTTTTTAGAACATAACAATAGCGGAGGGAAGAAGGAGAACTCGCGAATTGTATGAGACGTTGAATCGGAGAACGTTTTCTGCAGCATCCTGTATTATAAATGCCTTTGTCCCACAGCTCGCCTGCAGCTGCACTTTTGGCGGCTGTGGTGGATTCGGCGGAGGACCTAGAAGAGGGTTCGGTTCTAAGTTTGGAGAATTTGGACTTGGAGGAACATGGGGTTGGCGAGGAGATGGTCATCATCTCCATACCCACGGACACAGCATAAGGAACATCTACAAATAGTTCGTACTTAACCAATGCTTCCAATTTTCATGGTAAAAAGCATAACTTTGTCAATAGTAGCAGTGTTTGATGGAATGAAGATTTGCATATGAATGTACATATGTTCGATGAAATGGTTGTCGTGTGAGATAAAAACGTTACAACTTGCCAAATTTTTACCAGTGATTTGTTAACCCATATGAGTACCATCGTCTTGACTGTTTGCGAACAATTTTATCTTGACATCACCTTGGTGCCATTCTTGATACTGTAGTATGATTAAATGAAAAGACTCTTCATCTTCATACGTAGTCAACCCTACAACCTTTGTACCTACACCTTATTGAGTAAGAAAGGGGCAATGAGTGATAACAAATGCATTGGTGAATCTGCTTCTTACCCTAAATTTCACAGCTCACATAGGTAATTTCAAAAATTCCTTCCCAGTTATTTCATACAAGTACCGAATTCATCAATACTTTTCACTACCAAAATCCAAAACAAAAGATCATGAAGAACTGCTGGATTGCTATATGACATACTTCAATAACCAAAATACATATAAAGTACAAGACATGTGTGGTTTGTGTATGCGTAAGCTTGTGTATAAACAGGTTATTATGCAATTATCTATTCATGAAAAAGTATGAAGTAATAATCAAAGTCTAAATCAAC